CACGATACAGCCATTTAAGGCAAGCGTAGGGGACGACTCCCCCGCTTCAACTATAGATAAAATGCACGTGCCAGACATCTCTGTGACGACAGAATAAATTTTGATACAATATTATGTGTTGTCGGCGGGGTGTGTAGTAGAATGCAGGCAATTTGGTGGGTATGTTTTTTTTTTTTGAGCATTATATCGGGCAATGGTGCGGGTATTGCAAAGCGGTACCGAAATAATGGGGGTGGGTAGTGTAATGCGCAACGGATGGGTAGTTCAATGTAGCAGGCAACAAGTTTGGTAGTTCAATGTAGCAGGCAACAGGGTTGGTAGTTCAATGTAGCAGGCAACATGGTTGGTAGTGTAATGCGCCAGGAATGGGATGGGTAGTTCAATGTAGCAGGCAACAGGGTTGGTAGTTCAATGTAGCAGGCAACAAGGTGGGTAGTTCAATGTAGCAGGCAACAAGGTTGGTAGTTCAATGTAGCAGGCAACAAGGTTGGTAGTTCAATGTAGCAGGCAACAAGGTTGGTAGTTCAATGTAGCAGGCAACAAGGTTGGTAGTTCAATGTAGCAGGCAACAAGGTTGGTAGATCAATGTAGCAGACAACAACGTTGGTAGTTCAATGTAGCAGGCAACAAGGTTGGTAGTGTAATGCGCCAGGAGTGGGATGGGTAGTTCAATGTAGCAGGCAGCAAGGTTGGTAGTGTAATGCGGCAGGTCACGGGTGGGTAGTTTAATGCGGTAGGCAGCAGGGTTGGTAGTACAATGCGCCAGGAATGGGATGGGTAGTTCAATGTAGCAGGCAGCAAGGTTGGTAGTGTAATGCGGCAGGTCACGGGTGGGTAGTTCAATGCGCTAAAAATGGGATGGGTAGTTCAATGCGGCAGGCAACAGGGTTGGTAGTGTAATGCGGCAGGTCACAGATAGGTAGTTCAATTGCGCCAGGAATGGGGTGGGTAGTTCAATGTGGCAGGCAACAGGGTTGGTAGTGTAATGCGACAGGTCACAGATAGGTAGTTCAATTACGCCAGGAATGGGATGGGTAGTTCAATGCGGCAGGCAACAGTGTTGGTAGTGTAATGCGGCAGGTCACAGATAGGTAGTTCAATTGCGCCAGGAATGGGATGGGCAGTTCAATGCGCCAGGCATGGGATGGATAGTGCAATGTAGCAGGCAACAGGGTTGGTAGTGTAATGCGGCAGGTCACGGGTGGGTAGTTCAATGCGCCAAAAATGGGATGGGTAGTTCAATACGGCAGGCAACAGGGTTGGTAGTGTAATGCGGCAGGTCACAGATAGATAGTTCAATTGCGCCAGGAATGGGATGGGTAGTTCAATGTAGCAGACAACAGGGTTGGTAGTGTAATGCGGCAGGTCATAGATAGGTAGTTCAATTGCGCCAGGAATGGGATGGGTAGTTCAATGTAGCAGGCAACAAGGTTGGTAGTGTAATGCGGCAGGTCACGGATAGGTAGTTCAATTGCGCCAGGAATGGGATGGGTAGTTCAATTGCGCCAGGAATGGGATGGGTAGTTCAATGCGGCAGGCAACAGGGTTGGTAGTGTAATGCGGCAGGTCACAGATAGGTAGTTCAATTGCGCCAGGAATGGGATGGGTAGTTCAATGTAGCAAGCAACAAGGTTGGTAGTACAATGCGGCAGGTCACGGATAGGTAGTTCAATTGCGCCAGGAATGGGATGGATAGTTCAATGCGGCAGGCAACAGGGTTGGTAGTACAATGCGGCAGGTCACATATAGGTAGTTTAATTACGCCAGGAATGGGATGGGTAGTTCAATGCGGCAGGCAACAGGGTTACTAGTACAATGCGGCTGGTCACGGATAGGTAGTTCAATTGCGCCAAGCATGGGATGGGTAGTTCAATGCGGCAGGAAACAGGGTTGGTAGTGTAATGCGGCAGGTCACGGATAGGTAGTTCAACTGCGCCAGGAATGGGATGGGTAGTTCGATGCGGCAGGCAACAAGGTTGGTAGTACAATGCGGCAGGTCACGGATAGGTAGTTCAATTGCGCCAGGAATGGGATGGGTAGTTCAATATAGCAGGCAACAAGGTTGGTAGTTCAATGCGGCAGGTCACGGGTGGGTAGTTCAATGCGCCAGAAATGGGATGGGTAGTTCAATGTAGCAGGCAACAAGGTTGGTAGTTCAATGCGGCAGGTCACGGGTGGGTAGTTCAATCCGCCAGAATTGGGATGGGTAGTTCAATGTAGCAGGCAACAAGGTTGGTAGTGTAATGCGGCAGGTCACGGGTGGGTAGTTCAATGCGCCAGAAATGGGATGGGTAGTGCAATGCAGCAGGCAACAGGGTTGGTAGTACAATGCGGCAGGTCACGGGTGGGTAGTTCAATGCGCCAGAAATGGGATGGGTAGTGAAATGCGGCAGGCAGCAGGGTTGGTAGTACAATGCGCCAGGAATGGGATGGGTAGTTCAATGCGGCAGGCAGCAGGGTTGGTAGTACAATGCGGCAGGTCACGGATAGGTAGTTCAATTGCGCCAGGAATGGGATGGGTAGTTCAATGTAGCAGGCAACAGAGTTGGTAGTGTAATGTAGCAGGCAACAGGGTTGGTAGTGTAATGCGCCAGGAATGGGATGGGTAGTGCAATGCGCCAGGCATGGGATGGATAGTGCAATGTAGCAGGCAACAGGGTTGGTAGTGTAATGCGCCAGGAATGGGATGGGTAGTTCAATGCGCCAGGCATGGGATGGATAGTGCAATGTAGCAGGCAACAGGGTTGGTAGTGTAATGCGCCAGGAATGGGATGGGTAGTTCAATGTAGCAGGCAGCAAGGTTGGTAGTGTAATATAGCAGGCAACAAGGTTGGTAGTACAATGCGGCAGGTTACAGATAGGTAGTTCAATTACGCCAGGAATGGGATGGGTAGTTCAATGCGGCAGGCAACAGGGTTACTAGTACAATGCGGCAGGTCACGGATAGGTAGTTCAATTGCGCCAAGCATGGGATGGGTAGTTTAATGCGGCAGGAAACAGGGTTG